GAAATGAGTTATTATTCTTTGAAATAATCTAGGAGGAAGGAGATTCTCAAGGTATGAAACAAGATGAACTACATGTGGAATTCGGGTGGGAGCTACACGAAGGTTCATTATGCTGTTGTTGGCACGAAGGGCACAGTCCGAAGGTGAGGATGCCGCTGCACCACGCCCGGCAGCTCCTATGTGGCATTGACAGGAGGCACGGCATAGCAGGTGGCCTTTCTTGCTTATTTTAGAGCTATTGACATCCATTGGCTAGGTCACTATTTCCCTGTGTGTCTACAAAATGGCCACACTCCTCATTTATTACCTGGGCTACTTTTGTAGAGAGAAGCTTTTCCTTGTAAACCATTTAGTGACCCTGAAATATGATGTGGCCAGGACAGGCAGGTCAAATGTTTCATTACTCCCCTTTCTTTAGCGGTTTCTAAGATAAGGAGCCCGGATGTAGCCCACCCAGCTCTGCCTGGCGCAGGGCTGCTCTCTTCTGCCCTCTGCTGGACTGGACGTCACACAGACACCCATGTGGTCAACCCCTTAAGTCATGGGGGGGTCCCCAACCTTGTCATCAAACCTCATCTCTTTTGTTTTTCTCCTCTGAGGTCTATGTTTTGAAATACAGACCTTGTATTTCAGACAAGATGCACTTAACATCTATTTATTTTCCATTTTAATTAACAAAAGACATAAATAACTGTGGAACAGAACTTCTGAGCAGAAAAGAAAACCAGTGTTATTAAAATAAATTGATATAATGCAAGCCAAAACAAATGATGTTTTACTTAGGTTTATTGCTGATTAGATATACATAATTTTTTTGTTCAGTTTTTACACTGTCGGAAATCATGCCTAACCTGCGTTGCTGTCTTCCCTTATCTGCAACCCCAGAAGGCTGTGAGCTGTGCTCTGCCACGACCCCTGCAGTGCTTTGCACTGAGTGGAAGCTCCACAGACCTCCTTTGACGACTGGATTCTTGGTGGCATGGGGTACGCCCTCATCGTAAGGCCTTAGGAAGAGAAGGCACAGAGGTCTTGCTTTAAGCACAACTGTGTTTCAGTGTTTCATGTAATTCAATAAGCTGTCACTCCACTTTTTCAAACAGCACGCGGAGGTGTTGGGACACCTTCCAATTCTGTATTCCTGGCTTTGACATTTCCTCCGGCAGCGAGCAGTACCATAGCCGCAGATTCTGTCCACTTCAAGTTCACTTCTCGCTAGACAGCAGGATAAGTGACCGTGGTTAATTGTGCCCTAGCACCGAAAGGCCGGACTGGCGGCAGCTTTCTTCGCGGGAGAGGTAGAGAACCCCGGAACGGGGCGGCCCAGCTCTTCCCAACACCCCGACTCTCCTCTGCTTTCCTGCCTGCCTGACTTGGCCCTCTGGTTCCCAGCCAGTTTTCTTTCTTGAAAATAAAAATCAGTCCATGTCACACCTCTTTTCTAAAATCCCTACAACAGTGTACCATTACTTTTCGATAAAATCTAAACAAACCACTGGGTCTCCAAAGCTATCTTGATCTGGTCCGGGCCACCTCTTCCAACTCATGTTGCTCCACTGTGGCCCTCGCGCCTGCCATGACACGGCGCCAGCTGGCTCTGCTATCCCAGTGCCTTCACTCGCACTGTCCCCTCTGCCTGGACGGTTTTCCTCCCCTCCCGTGAACGCACTCTTCCAACGTTCATCTCTCAACCTTCAGGTCACAGTGCTGGGGCGCTGCTCCCTGTTTGTTCCCTTTGTGTAGTTAAACGCCCCGCACCATTTTTCTCCCTGCGTGTGTTTTATTCTTTTGTATTATCTGTCCCAAGTTGTAGTTACATATTTTTTTCATTTTTTGCTCTTCTAATTTAAATGTAAGCTCCCTGAACATGAGGACCGTGTCTGCGCCGCTTGCTGGTGAGTACCCAGCGTGAGGTACGTGACACGTGCTCAGGAAGAGCCTGCTGAGTAAATGACTGGATAGGCTAGACCAGAATAATCCAGAATAGACTAGAATAGACCTGAGTAGAGCAAACTGGAACAGACCAAAATCCTGATCGTGTGGACCTTGCCCTGGAGCAGTCTGGGGGAGATGTGGATTTAGTTACTCTGTCTCAGGAGGTGCTCACTGAGGCTGAAAGCAGCTTTTTAAACCTCGTTACCAGACGTGCCAAGCTGGTAGCATCTTACAGCAAGCCCAGGAGAGCCCAGAAGCAAGGCTGCTGGTGGAGATGAAGACAGATTGAAAGAACCTCGTCGTGTAGGACTGGTCTGAGGTTCTCTCGCAAACTCAGCAGGACCCAGGTTGGGGGAGGGTGTCAGGAGGACACTGGGGAGCAGAACGTCTGCTGTGCAGCCGGACCTTGGCAGAGATGGGGGCTCTTCCTTATTGCACCTGAGTCCCTCTCTCCTCCCAGCCACCGTCTGTCCGTTTTCTACAAAGCAGAGGTGCAGGAGAACTCAACGGGGCTGATTATCCTTGGACCGGGGTTTTATGTCTTTCCTTTGTCCTAGTAAAGAAAATCCTCATCTGTCCAAAGCTTAGGTGTCAGGGCTGTTGGGTTGGGGCACAGGTGGGAACTAAGAAGCGGTTTGACTGAATCACATGCTTGACAGCGTACTAAAGAGGCCCACGGTCAGGGAGGCCCCCGGGGGGCAGGGAGGAAAGCCTGTTTTGCTGTAACCTCCACCACTGAGGTCAGAGTAGAAGGCAATGAAGAAAGGAGTGAGAGGAGCTGCAATATTTATTATGCTGAGTGATTATGTAGAGGCTGGGTAGGGGATAGACGACTTCTGATGTGTTTGGAGCCAACCACTTTACAGCATGGGGTTAGAGGAGCAACAGGAAGCCACTGTGTGTGCTCAGGGAATATGAAGCTTAGAATTAGTGGAGAAGCAGAATAGACTAGAAAGACAATACAATCTTCACAGTGCTAGAATGTCAGTTCCATGTAGGTGCTCAAAAGCCATCTATTTAGAGATGGGAATTAAGTCCTAGAGAAAGAAAGTGACTAACCTGAGGTCACACAGCAACTTAGGTTTCGGAGCCACAATGAAAACCCAGCTAGTATGTCTTATAGTCAAGGGAATCAGAATATGAAAGGGAGAATGTAATCTATGAACCGAGCAACAAATATATTCTAAGCAATAAATGGAATATTTACTCATAGACCCAGTCATGCTGGGTCTCTTTCTGAATAAGCAATTGCCCTCCTCTGCGCTCATTCCCAGTCCTTGTGGGTGTTTGAGGGGCTGACGGTTTTTGAGAGCCAAAGTTACCCAAAGCAGGAGCAGCAGGAGATGCAGGTGGGCAGTGTTCCCTCGTTCACCCTCACCCACCTCTGTCTGCTACTTTCTCCCAGATCTGTGGTCCCCCACCCCCACCCTGGGCCGCACAGCAAGAGGTGAGTAGCAGGTAAGTGAGCAAAGCTGCATCTGTATTTACAGCCGCTCCCCATAGCTCACATCACCGTCAGTGTGGCCATTAGATTCTCATAGGAACACGAACCCTACTGTAAACTGCGCATGGAGGGATCTAGGTTGCGCTCCTTATGGGAATCTAACACCTGATGATCTGAGGTGGAGCTGAGGCGGTGATGCTAGTGCTGGGGAGCAGCTGCAAATACAGATTATCATTAGCTGAGAGGTTTGACTGCACAATAAATACAAATTGCTTCAATCATCCTGAAACCATCCCCCTACCCCAGTCCGTGGAACAAATTGTCTTCCATGAAAATGGTCCCTGGTGCTAAAAATGTTGGGGACTTCTGTCCCAGATCATCTTCCTGCTAAGATCTTTTCTTAGACCACACTGCAGAGGCCAGTCTGACTTTGCCCCCAGCAGCGCAGTGCAGTGACGGCCCCCGTCTCTTCACGTCACTCCCTGGCCCTGCAGGGACACCTGACTTGGGCTTTCTGTCTTGACAGGTTCTTTGTCTTGTGGTCATAGGTCGAGGGAAACCTGTCTTTTGATAAATAAATTACTCTCATATTTTGACAAGCCTGGAATATGCTGACAGCAGGATTTTATAGAAGCGTCCATGAGAAATGACCCAGGAAGACAGGACAAGGAAGGAGTGAGCTAAACACCTACCCTCTGAGAAAAATGATTAACCCATGTGAATCACTGCAGAGATCCCATCAGAAGGAGGGGAAGGACGCATGCTGGGCTTCTGGGCTTCTTCAGAGCCTCGGAAAACCCAGGAGGCAGCTTGGGAGAGAGGATCACGTGAGTTCCATGAATCATAACAATTGGTTTGGTCCCAGCACAGCTAGATGTGTTAAGCAACGTCAAGAAAATTACTTCCATTCACTATACTATTGGCTCAGCTTTTGAAAGGAGGGTCTTAGGTTAGATGATCTCTCCATATCTAATATTATAAAACTGTATGCTTCTTGGTACACAGATTAACATAGGAGTCAGAAGATTGCTGACATCTCACTCTAACTTTGAAATTTCCTTAGCAGACTCCAAAGACACCTGCTATTTGTGTTATTAATAAATTACATTTTTGCCTCCAAAATTCACTGCATTCCTCTTGATCCTAATTTTCTGAACTGATATGAAAAGTTGTAAAATTTATAAGGAAGGATAGGCCCCCTTTCCATGCAGAGCAAAGCTATTCAGAAGGAGGCAGATGAGAGAAGCCGTCTCGTTCCACAAAATCAACAAGGAACGCCTGCAGCTGCCCTGCAGTGGAGTAAGTATGGCTGGTAGGTCCCCGTCGCTAAGGAGTCCAAGAGGAACCACTACCACGGGCAGCTAGCTGGAGGTCAGTGACATCTAAGAACCCTGACTCCTGCCTTTGTCTTTCTCCCTAGAGCCATAAGCCTCACAGCTGGGAGGCATGTGTGAAGACTGCCCCTCACTGCGTTTCACTAATGGACCCACTGAAGACAAAGCGATAAAGGCTGGGATTGAGGAAGGTTGCTGAATCCTTTGGGATTTTTTTCTAAATCAAGTTTTTCTCCCCACCTCTCATCCTCTGCCACGGTGTGTATTTCCAGCCAAGAGCCTCTTTTTACCTGGAAGATCTTGGGAGAGCAGAAGAGAAATGGCTAAGAGCAGCACAGGGATCCTCATGGCGCGGAGACTGCTGGACCAAGCAAGGGCAGGTAGGAGGGAATCAGCCCCAGGCAGGACGGGCCAGCTGTTTTTATGACTAGTGCTGCTCCTGATTACTGAAGCTTGTCAAGGGTCAGTGTTGCCCGTGAGCGCCAAGACGCAGTGTGAGGGGGCGGCGTGGGGGCATTGGAAATGTGGGCTCGGCAGAGTTCGGGGCAGGGACAGTGAGCGTGGTGTGGGCAGTCCAAGTCGCATCATTTGCCTCCCCATCAGAAACAAGAATTGGATCAGATGATCTCTGAGATACCCTTGGGCCTCGACATTCTGTGATTCTGGTGAAAGGACTTTCCGTTCTGTTTCAGTTAAACTGGTATGAAATTGCTCCAGGTGTATATCAGTCAGGAGTTTCTTGTCGAAAATATCGGTGTAGGTAAGTGGGGTTAGAGTCCATCCCTCCCAAGACACCACTGGGATAAACATATAGAAGTAAATAAACACACAGTGTCAAAGAGAAGCATGGCGTGGGATGCGAGGAGGTCATGAATGCACGAGAGGTCTCAGCACACTTCTGGGGCAGAAAGGGTGGGGGGTGAGAATGACAGTAAGTGACAATAGGGAATACTTTATGGTGGGCGTCGTCAGTCATCAAAGGGGGGCGATGTCTGGCCACAGAAGAGCAGATTGGCTTGGAGCTCAGAACGAAAAAGGGGACAAGAGTGAGAAGAGAGGTTAAAAGGGGAGGCAGGACTTATTTAAATGCTATATTTCTAACAATGGCACCAAATCACATGTGACCTTACTCTTTACCCTTCCAGAGAGCATATACCTTTGGATGAAATCCCCGCCTCCACCCCAGGCAAAACAGACAGGGTGTAGGCTCCCAGGATTTGCCCTTAGGGAAAACACCGGATAATTTATTTTAAGGAAAATTTATGAACTATTTTAGAGAAGATGAAAATGTCCAGTTTTGGAAGTTGACATTCTAGAATAAGCTCTCCTCATTCTGAAACACAGATTAGACAAAGCCCAGGAAACAACACTTTGCTCACACATCCTAAGCAAAACCAAGCAGTCAATGTGTCCTGCCCAGAGCTCCCATTTAGGGGAGAATCTGATGGAGAACCGGTTCTCCTTACACAGTAACAGGATAACAATCAGAGATCACCACACGTGCCAGTTTAGGTCCTCCAAGAAGCAGATATCAACATGAAATAGAAAGGAAATGAATTTATTGGGGAATGTCTACGAAAGATAGAAGAGAGTCATGCAGAAGAGAATGTCTACGAAGGACAGAAGAGAATCATGCTGACTGGAGAAAAAGCCAATCCAAAAAGGTTATATACTGTATAATTCCACTTAGATGACATTCCTAGGAGGACAAAGCTGTAGAAATAGAGAACAAATTAGTTGTCCCAGGGTAAAGAAGGAGGTGGAGGTGGGAGGGGAGAGGGTGTGGCTCTAAAAGGATAACACGAGGAGACCTTGCGATGAGGGAAATGCTCTGTGTCAATGTCAACATCCTGGTTGTGATTTCTGCTATAGTTTTGCAAGATGTTGCTATTGAGAAAAATTTAGTGAAAGACCTGGGAATCTCTATGTATTATTTTTTTGCCACTGCATAGGCATCGACAATTATCTCAAAACAGAAAGTGTAATTAGGAAGTACGTTGTCAAAGCGTTATTGATTCTAATGGGATTGAGGACCTTGATCTTGAGGAATTAAGATGTAGGTAAGGTGAGGTTTCCATCCCAGGGGGGACCTACACTGGATCTTAAGCATTAAAAACATGACAGGAAATTCTTACTTAAACTAGATAATTGTTTTAGTTCATTCATGTTGCTATAACAAAATACCTTACTTACACTGGGTAATTTATAAACAATAAAAATCCACTGCTCACAGTTTCTGTGGCTGAAAGGTCCATCCTTCCTTCCTTGTATCCTTCCTTCCTGTGTCCTTCCTTATACCCTTCCTTCTTTCCTTCCTTCTTCTTCTTTTTCTCTCATCTCACTAGGTTGGTTAGGGCCAACTGCCTGTGTGCAAGCTAGAGGTTTATCGATTTATATTCCCCTTTTAAGAAAAATATCAGATGACTTTGGAACAATTTCTTTACTCCAAAATTATTCAAAATAAGCCAGGGTGGAGGGACTATAAAGATTAGATAGTCATGTTCTCCCTTCCAAATGAAGCATTTGACAAACTGATCCAAGACAGCCATTTATTTTTATTAAAGTGTCTGCTTATAATAGAGGCCAGAATAAAAAGAAGAAGCTAGGTCATTGATGCTTCTCTGGGAAACTTGTCTTCAAAATTAGCCATCTTCATTATTGCGCCCACATGGCTGGAGAGTCACGCAGCATCTCAGGGACTTCTGGCAGAGAGCAACAAGTTCTTCATTTTTCTCACAAGAATGCACGCATCTCCCGTTAAGCTTCTGGCATTTCTCATCAAAAAATGCATTCTTGGCTACACGAGGGAAGGAGCCACCTGGATTAATTCTCTTTTCAGACATGTCTAGGTTATGCTGCGTCATCTGTTGCCCACCAACATGAATGCATAGGTGTCTCTAAGCTCCATTCCTTTTCTCTCCCATTCTTTCCTTTCTTTGTCTCTCTTCCTTACTTCTCTTAATCTCTACCATAACCATATCTTAAAAGGTCCATAGACTGCTACCCTTGCTTTTAATTTTTTTCCCAGTTTTTTTGGAGTCACCAAAGTCATCCTTCCCGGCCTTCCTTTATTTCTTCAAACCTGTGACAGCCCCTCCCAGATAATAATGGAAAATGCAAGGGATTTATGGAAGAGGCATTAGGGTGGAAGTCTCCTCCTGCAGCAAATGGTCCCCTGCAGGGCCATCGGACCAAGGGTGCCTTTGCACGCCAGGCTTGGTCATGCCTGGACGCTTACCGAGGTCGACCCTCCCTCTGGGACACCACCTCTGCTTACATTTCCTGTCAAGATACTCATGTTACCTGGGGCCACAAAGAGGAGAACAGCAGAGAGAAAGATGAATGTCCTCATGACTGGAGGGTCTTGAGAGAGCAGTACAGTGTCCATGAGAAAAGGACCATGAACACCCACATTTATACGTTTCTCCAGAACAAATAACATCTTGATCGGTGAGGCTTGTCAGGGATGAGAATCTTTCCACGCTCTGCTGAGTAGAGCCCACAAACATCAGTGGGTGTCACTCCATCCACAGCGTACCATCTTTCTGATTTTGGAAAGTTCCCAAGAAGGAACATGGAGATGATGGTTTGGATTTCTAATCCTGGCCGTACTCCTTAGTATCAGTTAATCTTCTGAAATACCCTGGGAAGCACGTACTATTATTATATCTTTATTTTAAGGATTAGGAAACTGAAATTTGACAAATCAAGCAACCTATCCAAGGTCAGACATTGCTAAGTCTATCTCTCTGACTTCATAGTCTTAACGTTTTCTAATTATTCCGTTTTGCATTCTAGAAATGAAGAACAGAAATATAGGCAACTTATTTGGGGGGGGAAGTGACGTGAATATGACTTTTGATACCCATGTTCTTAATTAATTAAAAAGATGTGGCAATCACGGCTTCCCTCTCTGAAGTGACGTTGTCACAGGCACAGGGATTCAGAGCTAATTTGTAAAATGACTGCTCCCCCTCCCTTTCTCCCTATGGTATTTCTGAACAACAAAAAGGAAAGCTGGGAAAAGAAGAATCCACATTTATTGAGCTTTTAGGGGTACCAGGCCCCTGAAGCATGCCACGTGTTCAAAACACTTTCGCATCATAATCACACTAAATAGATCCTTACAACAACCTCGAGAGGCTGCAGAATTTGAAAGTTTCTTCTTATTTCAATCCAGAATATGGAAGCTGGAAGAGATGGAGTCATGAGCTCCTCGTCCCTGGGTGACTACAGCAGCCCCGTGAATAACCCCTGGTCTCCCGACTCCCAGCCTGATGTTCTCAAGACACCAGTAAAACTCCCCCGAATATAAGGCTTGATGGGCGTCCAGGGCCATTATCCATGATATCAGCCCTTGATCTTGAGAAATGGGGCATATAATTGTGCTTCCTTTACTGATTCACTTCACTGACCAAGAGCATATCCCATTACTTTTAAATATAAACGAGCCTCTTGTCTTCTCAAAGAAATCCCAAACCTCTGTTCTAAAGAGTCTTCCTCAAAGATGGCCCTGAGCAGGAAGATACTTTATTTTGTTCTCGCTTTGTTCTTCACTTTGGCTCAATTACCGTCAGGTAAATGCAAATGTATGGGATTTTGATGGGGTGGATCATAAAGCTTGAAGAATCTTCTAGGTACCACCCTGAAAGTGAGAGTAAAGGTCCACCCTCCATGATACCTCTCATGGGGATCTCTTGGACCCGCCATAGCATTTTCTAAGAGCAAACTGTATATGATACTTTACCTTTTGTTTGTGTTCATTTGGTCTTGCTGGTGACCAGGAATGCTGGCCTGGGAAACAGAATAGAATAAAGATCACAACTCTGTAATCTCCCATCTCTTGACATCCCACGTCACGTGCGAAGTTGGGAATATTGTTTTATACAGTGTTTTTTTTCCCTGTGTTGATTTTAACTTTCAAAATGTGTGTTGTTTTGAATTTAGGGTGCCAGGCAGGAATTGATTACCCCCAGCCATTTCCAGCAGGTAAGTTAAATCCCTTGCATATAATTTTTCCTTTCTTTTAGGAGCTCTGGCCCTGTTAGCTGTTGCTGACTTCTGGAGAGAAAGAGAGGATAGAGATAGTAGTGAAAATAGAATTGTCTGAGATCTCAGTCCACTAA